TATTTCTGATTTGTGTTGTGTAACCTTTCTTTAAAATATTTCATTAAAGCATGAAAATTTCCTAAATATTGATCACAAACAATTCTAAATTGATCGGTGTTCTATTAATTAATAGAATTTCTGCGGAAAAATTATTATTAAATTTTATTTATTTTTCAAACAAATTTTCCCATATCTTACTTAAATAGAGCAAATTATAAATTTTTTTTAGTTTGTTGTTTGTCCCTTTTAAAATTGGTCTGGTACCTGTATACTGTACCAAAAAATTACCTGGTTTTTTCTTTACCCCTTAAGAGGTATGCTTATAACCATAACGCAGCATCAATAAAATTAAGAATGATGAAAATATTTCTTGTTAAAATTGTTTTTTCTAAAATTAAAATAAATGCATTTTGAAAATTTTACAAAAATAAATAAAATCATAATACAATAAAAATTTGTTTACACTGATAAGAGAAAATATTCTTAACATAAACTGAAAAGTAAAGTATATAACTTAGAAAAGCACTTCATTTCCATTTATGCTTTTGATAGTGACAAACACAATGTGTCTTAAAAAAAGATTAAAAAGAGTTTCTACAACTTTTTTTATTTTATTTGTTTAATAATAACACTACTTAACTGATTTTAAAAATGTACAAAATTCCCACAACCTTCTACCGAAGGAAATGCACAAGTGGGCGACCTTTGTGCTAAAATACAAACTAAGGTAGACAACGTTAAAGAGCACAAAAAAAGCAGACAGCTGTTTCGGATGCTCAAAGGGCAACCTTCATCAGTGCAACAGGATGAAGGTTGCCCTTTGAGCATCCGAAACAGCTGTCTGCTTTTTTTGTGCTCTTTAACGTTGTCTACCTTAGTTTCCACCGAAGGAGCAATATGGATTTAGAAAAGGACACAGCACAGCCGACCAGGCGCTTTATTTTAGCCAAAGAGTCAGAGACGCACACAACATGAAACCTACAAATCATACCATAGCTACCTTTCTAGACCTTTCTAAGGCTTTTGACAGAGTTTGGTCTCAGAAGCTGATTATCAAATTGTATTACAAATTCGGTATATGAGGTAGAGCACTGTCTTGGATCTATAATTTTTTGAGAGATAGACACACTAGAGTGAGGTTCAACCTTAAATAGTTTTAAAATAAGCCAATGTGTTCCTCAGGGCTCAGTATTAAGCCCTACTTTGTTCACACTCTTTATTGCAGGAATTGAAAATGTCATACCTAAGAACTGTGAAATTGAGACTTTTTGCAGATGACATTGTTCTCTGGAGTTCCGGCTCTGATATTGAAAACGTTGAGGTGAGAGTGAATATGGCTCTGACAGACATGTGGGGCTTTGCTGTTAACCACAAACTGTGTTTTAACCGTTCAAAGTCAACCGTTTGTTTCTTCACAACTAATAGAAAATTATATAATATCCAACCAGGAATCCAGTTGAATGGTCAGCTCCTGGAAGTGGAGAAACACCCAAAATATTTGGGCTTCATTCTAGATTCTGGGAAATAGTCATCTAGAACATCTTACTGTGAGAGCTAAGAAACACATTAATATCCTTAAATACATTTCGGGTCGTGATTGGGGTGCCGATGCTAGTACCCTTAGAAATACATGTCTCTCTTATTCGACCCATTTTGGAACACGGCTTTTCCATCTTTTGCAGTGCTTCAGATTCAAACCTGCAGAAGCTCGAACGCGTTCAACTCAGTGCTGCAAGAATCATCACGGGCCTTCGCAATTCTTGCCCGAATGACATCGTACTTTATGAAGCTGATCTGCAGCCTAGGAGAAACGCATGTTTGGTGAAGTACAGTAAGCTCTCCAGTTTGGGCTCCTTGGCTCGGGGCAGCAATAGAAGAGAACAAACTGCCCTTACTCGTTTCCTCAGTGGACATCTGTCATCAATAACTTATGACGATGGTAATAAACACTTTGAAATCTGCACTAAGAGTTCTGCTGCCCAGGCCACCCCAGACCACATTTTGTCTTGTCTGTGACTTACCAGGCTGGACCTGGTTCAAGCTTCCCTGGTTGTGCTAGACCTTTTTAGAGTGAATTTTGCTCATATCAATTTATATTTAAAGAGATTTTTGGAGGAAAGCCAAGACATCTAAACATTTAAGAATTTTATATTTATGTTTACTTAAAAGACTAACTCCTAATTGTATTTAAACTTAAAAAGTAGAACATTCTTACGAGAAAATTGAATAAATTTTTATTTGGTTCTATTCAAATTAAAACTATTTACATAAATAATAAAAAAATAAAGTTTCAAAATGATTATTTAAAAAAATAATAATGTAAGCCATTGACGGTTCTGTTCACAAAAAGTCTCATTTTAACCTGCAGTTTTCTCCGCAGAGCAAAACCGGTTTTTCCATGTTATTAGATAGGGATATTGTATTCAGGGGATAAACATTCTTCCAATTTTTCCCATTTGCTAAAATGCCAGTTGCTTAATCTGTGGTGTAAACCAGCCAACCTTGAATAAAAATGTTAACTGTGTTAAGTAGCATTTTTTATAAAAACATACGTTAGAATGGACAAACTCAATTTTATCCACGGTCATTTGTTATTAATATTTTCCAGGGTGTATAGCCAAATCTTTCAACTAAAAATAAGCACCTTTTAAATACTTTTTAAGAAATATTTTTAAGCACTATATACATTAACAAAATGCAAATTAATTTTCAAAGACTTGATCAAATAACTAGTTTCTGAAAGAAAGAAAAACTCTTTTCTGGATTATATTAGCCATTATAAAATGATCAAGAGATTTTTCGGATTAATAACAGAGGGTGAAAAATGAAGCCTGAAATTGAGAATATCAAAATGCAGCAAAATTGCACATGAGAGTGCAAAAATCTCACCGAACCCTGCTCAGTAGACGAACATGCAGACTCAAGTATTTCATCAAACATGCGAAATGTTTTAGAAATACACTACGCTTTCATACGCTATGGACCAACGGTACGCCGAAATGGATTGAGGTTGAATGAATTGCGTAAACATTTGAATAGAACAATGTGAAAAGTACGCTTTTGCATAATACGTGGCAAAAAATTGACATGGTAAAAAAATCATTTTCGAAAAGGGAAAATTAAGCACTACCAATAAAAACTACTTAAACCAATAAAAAGTCCCTTTAAGGGCCTTTAAAAAACGAAAACTGGCACCCAAAAGCACTTTTTAAAAACGTTACGCACCATGTTTTCCATTACTTTGATGACAGTATCTTTTTTGATAATGTAAGTTATTGTTAAATAATCTGTTCTTTTTCACATTTAAAAGCATATTATAAATAGCAATTTTCTAGAAGTATAATAATTCTTTGCATAGCTATTGAATAAAGGGGAGAAAGAAGAAAAAAATCAAAAAATAAACACATTGGTGATTTAGTGAATTGGTGTATTTAGTAGAATCAGTGAATAGGCAAATCAACTTCTTAATAGGTAACTAAGTTATTAAACAAATAATTTTTTTAAAACTATATTTTGTTGTACCCTGAATTTTGTTTCTTTACAAATTATGACACAATTTACGACAAACAACAGACAAAGTGACTGGAAATAATATGTTTTTTTTCTATTCCTGTGATGTGATTGCATAAACCTCCCTCATTATTAATTTTACTTATAACAGACTTGACGAACATTCAAAGAAAATGAGTATAAAAAGAAAACAGAAAGAATTAGAAAGCGAATACAGAGAAACCTCAGTTAAGCGGACATTCTTGGGACCGAAAAAAATTGTTCGTTTAGGGAAGAATACCCTAATAACAAACATTAACACCGTAAATTATTTTGTGAATATTTTCGAAGTTATAGAAAGAGTTAAATAATCCACAATAACTATCTACAAGGATATTTATTTGAACTTTAAAAAATATTTTTTCTATATAAAAGAATATATAAAAAGTTTGATATAAAATACATAATTCTAAGTGAAACTACAGATAAATGAATATAATTTTCCTATTAGCAAAGATATTCAAGTTAGACATGTAATACCCAATAGGAGCTTTTAGTTCTCAGCCGGTTTCAATTATTAGGTTTACATCTCCCAACACCTACCTATTCACTTGATAGGAAACATAGTTAATATCTCCTAGAAATTAAATCTCCCAGGATTCACAGGGAAAAAAAGCAATGCATACCTGTAAGTTATGAGAACCTATGGGGTTGATTTTTCACAATTGATCATCTATCAAGTGTTTACCCCAGCTGAGTTATACAGGAGTTTGTGTGTGAACAGTAGGTTTCACAAAAGAAAGAGAAAAAAAACTTAATTCAGAGTGCGCAGCCAAATCTTTCAACAAAAAATAAGCACCATTTAATTACTTTTTAAGCACTCAAAAAATATTTTTAAGCACCATATACATTAACAAAATGCAAAACAATTTTTAAAGACTTTACATGATCATGATAAAATAACAAGTTTCTGACAAAAAAAAACTTATTTCTTGATTATATTAGCCATTATAAAATGATCGAGAGATTTTTCCGTTCAATATCAGAGGGTGGAAAATGAAGCCTGAAACTGAGAATATTTTGCAAAATGCAGCAAATTTACACATGTGAGCGCAATAACCCAGCTCAGTAGACGCACCTGAGGAATCCAAAGTATTTCATCAAACATGTAAAATGATTGCCGCTTTTAAACGCTACGAACCGAACGTAAACCAAAATGCATTTTGGACTAGTGAATTGTTAAAACATTGAACAGAACAATGCTAAAAGCATGTTTTTGTATAATATGTGGCGAAAATCGACACGGTAAAGAAAAAACACTAATTTTTGAAAAGCGAAAATTAAGCACTTTTTAAAAACACCCAATAAAAAAAGCACATTTAAGGGCTTCTAAAAAACGAAAATAAGTACCTTTAGCACTTTTTAAAAACGCTATGCCCCATGTAATTTATATTGGCACAATTTATACGGCCCTTCATTTAAAAATGGTGTTTTAGGCAATGAGAAGAATGTAATAAATATATATTTACCATCCCTATAGTCAAGAGTAGTTTCGCTCTGAGTGTATTTATAGCCCCTCAGATGAAGACGCAAACGATTGATTCCCACAAATATTGCATTATTGCTGGCACACTGGAAGTATCGTTTACCTTTGATGCTCCCATCACACACGCCATGTTCTGGATGAACCTAAAAAAACAAACACAATTATTCAATGCTAATCTGTGTATACTATCATATTCAATAAAATATAGTAGGGTTTGTGGCGTAATTACCACAACGATTATTAGACATCAATTCATTAGTATATAAGATATGCTAACTCTAATGAATCTTGGGGTACCTTTTGAAAGATGAAGGTGGGCATTGTCGGTTTCTACTCTCCCCACATGGGTGACCTGGACGTGATACGATCACGCCTACTTACACACATTGAAAAGTTGACCAGCTATTTGTGACAGCGTCATTGTCTTCCTCACGCGGTTGCTTCTCAGCCTCTTTTACACACAATGGGATACTGACCACACTCGATTGCTAACAGCAACACAGGAGAGACTACACACACAACCGTGAACTTAATACAGCTCTCACCACAAGCGCTCATATTCCGTTGAGCTTAATATAACTCTCCTGGTCTTATGCAAAGACCGCAATTAATGGTATCCATTTATCAAATTCTACACCAGATAAAATACTGGTGAGGGAGTATTTTGCCCTAACTAATACTACAATTATTAAATATCAATTCACTACTATATAAGACTTGAGATACCTTCGGATAGATGAAGGTCGGCATTCCCAACAGGTTTCACAACAATATGTGGAGAGGCAGAAAACATCTTTTAGCTTTTGGAGGCCAAATTTTATGTCCTTTGATAATTATTATTTGGTGTCATAAGAACAATATAATTTAATCTTAATTAAAAGACAAGAAATATGCACATATATATATATATATATATATNATATTTGCATATGCAAATATAAAATCCTAGATCATTCATTTTTAAATAAAGATTTGAACTTTAATTGATAACATATTTCAGTTAAATAAAATTTTTTAGAAAATTGCCTGTAGTGTATCTACCACTACAAAAATATAATTCCATTTCACTAATATATAAGACATGTTAACTCGATACTTTAGTGGGGTACCTTTTCATGGATGAAGGTTGACATTGTCGATAACTACTATCCCCACAATGTCTACAAGAAATTTTGAAGAAAAAATATTCCATTTAAAATTATGGAGAAGTGTTAATACTTTGAATTCATTGAACTCATGATATTCATTTTTTTTTAGTGTCCTGCAAGATATAGGTTTTTTCTGTAGGAAATACCGACCCTGTAATTAAGTCATTAATTATAAAACAAAAACTAAATGGAACAGAGCTCCTGAAAATATAATTGGTTTTCTTCTCCAGGACTTTTCAGGGTGGCCACTCAAATCTAAAAAAATAAGTATGAAAGAAACTACTTTTTTTTAATGCATTATTTCACCTTTAATAGATTGACAGGGTTGCCACTCAAATATAGAAAAAAATATTCCCGTGTTTTCCCTGTACATATTATACACAATATATTAAGAGAAAAAAACACAATCACTGTGCTCTTGCATGAGCTGTATTAGGCTAACTATCTTTATTAATTTTAATTGCTGGAAAAACAGCTGAACATACTTAAATAATGGTATAGTAAATGAACTAGTTTAGTAATAGATGAAATATCATGGTTAAATATCCCATAGATTATGCTTTGAGTGGCCACCATTTTTTAAAAAACAAAATTCCTCGCATTTTCCCTGTTATTTTAAGTGATTTTTAAATTCCCTATATTTTCCAGGTTTTCCCTGTGGAGTGGCAGCCCTGTTTTTCCAGAAAAGGTTGCATATAAGTAATTTCCACGACTTTAGAAGTCCTCCATGAAGGGGAGTTTGTCATCCAAGAGTTTCCGGTATTCTAGGTTGGGCAATAACACAGTTAAGTCACAAATCTGATATAGATTGCCCATTCATTCCCAGTTAAGAAAAAAAATCAATAAAATAACACTAAGCCGTGGTAACTCAGGGATAGAGCGTTCGCCTTCCAATGAGGTGAACTGGGTTTATCAGTATCCTCAGTGGTAGGCAGATCATGGGCTAGAGTCCCTTTGCCATCAGGCTAACGTTGGGAGGTCTCTGTGGTTTTCATCACCATGCAACGCAAATGCGGGAAGTCCTCCACAAAAGCAAATTTCTTTCCATACCTAATCCAAGATTTTCCATGTCTTCTGCATCAGGTTCAAAAATACAAGGCTACGGAGTTGAACAATAATAGTCGTAAACCCAAAAGAAGGGTCGGCTGTTCAAGGATGGTTATAAAATAATAAAAAATAAAATAATACTCACCAATATATATGGCAACATTACTTTTAAAAAGTAACGAGTAAAAGTACAAGTATTTTTAAAAAAAGTAATGAGTAAAAAGTTCTTACTTTAAAAAGTAAGGAGTAAAAAGTACAAGTAAAAGTACAAGTACTAAACAAAAAAAGTAACGATTTAAAAGTACATTTCTAGGAAATCGAAAATTCAAAGTAACCTAAAATTTTTTGAATAAATATAATTAAATAAAAATTCTTTATGTTCTTCTTATGTTCTTTAATGTTTTTGCAAAATTGTTGTTATTTATTTAATTATATTTAATTTTGAAAGTTATGGACATTAATTTATTTTTAAATTCGGAAGAATATTATAATATAATTTTATAATATAATCGTATAATATAATTTTAAAATCAAATATAATTTTAATATCTAACTTTTTATGGATTTGCACGAAAAAGAAATTTTATCTATTTATTTTCATTTTTAGTTTATTATTTTTATTTATTTAAATTACCATTGATTTAAGATTGTTTTACACTATAGAAACATGTTTTAAAAACAAAAACATAAACAAAGCAAACACGGGGTTTCAGAGAGCTTTGTGATCTTTGAGCTGGTAAAAAATAATTGAATGTGCAGTATAAGTTGAAACAGAACAGTCTACAGTTTTATTTGTAACAATTACTAATGCTGAAGTCATGCAAGAAAATCATTTTCCAAACATTTCTGCCTAACGGAATAATTAAAATTTGTAAACGAATTTTAGTATCAGCGACTAAATTAATACCTTCGAGTTTTCAAGAGTTAAAATAGTAATTATAATAGTTTTCAGTAGCACAAATAGTTCTGAAGTTCTTAGAGATTTGAATGGGCATTGTTTGACAAGGTCGGCATAAGCATAATTTTAGTAAAAAATTTACTAGGTAAAAATGTGTTTAGTAAAAAATTTATTAAGACAAAAATTGTATTATTAGTGAGTTCAAACAGAAAATTGAAAAACGTAATAACAAAATCCAAAATTTTTTATTTAAAATTTATTAAATAAATGCATAAAACTCGAATATGAATGAAAATAACTTGCTAATTGACATTTGTATTCATTTTGCAAAATAATTGCATTTTGAAAGGAAAGTGGTGCCACTGAGTCTGCTGCGAGAATTTCTCAGAACATGCCTAGCCACGCTGAATAAGCATTCCATGGGAGGCCAAGGTATTTAAACACGAAGTTAGCTGCGAATGCATATATATTGCACATTAATTTTATAAATTAAAAAAACATAAGCATTTTTTTTAATAAATTTTTTTTTTAGAAAGATTACCGAATTTTAGAAAAAGTAACGATTTAATTCAACATTCTGTTACAAATACTTGTTCTTTTTCCCTAAAAAAGTTAACGAAAGTACAAGTAAAAGTACGTACTTTTTACTTGTACCAGCGCTACAAGTAACGAAAGTAAAAGTACTGCCATATATGCTCACCAATAACTCCACACCATATAAGATCCCTTTTCCCAATTCAGGAACATTTCCACAGAATCGAACGATTCCTTCCACAGGATCAAGATCAGCTCCCAAATCCACATTGACATTACTACCTTCAACAATCATGGCAGCTTCTTTGAGCCACTGTTCATCACCAAGAACACGGAGGCGGTCTCTTACGGGAGAAACGGGAACTAAAATCTCGGCTTCAAAAGGAGTTAATTCATGAACATCACTATCGTTGCAAAGCATATATACATTATCATGATCTAAAGACTGGACACAAATTGAGGAAGAGCCTGGTTCAGATTTTATTTCCTGTAATATGCTCCCGGGTACGAGTTGAACCTCCGTCTCCAGTGCTAACTTATTGAACAATAAATTAGGGCGATTGTCATCAGTAAGTTTTTTGCCGTAGCACTCTTCAATAAGTAGAAATTTGCGTTTTTTGGGTCGATCCATGTTTTGCTGCTGCAAGACCTGCAATAAAAACATGACCATTGGTTTAAAGATTTATATCACATAAGTTTAAACTCCATGGCAGAATTGAGGCGACATTGTTGCAGAACGTTATAGAGTTTTTGCAAAAATATTTTTCATTTAGGAAGGGAAAACTTTTGTTATTTTTCACTGCATCACTTTTCGAAAAAAAATTTTTCTTTTTTTTTTTTTGCAGAATTTTTTTCAAAAATGCTTTTCTTGTGTATCAGAAAGGAAAGAAAAAATCATCATTTTTCTATTCTCATTTAAGATTTTTAAAAAAATCATTTAAAAAATTAGATTTTTAAAAAATTAATTACATAAACAAAAAAAATCAGAAATCGAGAAAATTTAAAAGATAGTTCACTCTATAAAATAGGATCTTTCTTTCATTATTTTTTTCTCCTTAAAGAACACCATATTTTAGATACACTTATTTGAGTATCTCTTTTACAAAATCCTATTCGCTTGATGAGGAAATAATTCGTGCATTTTTCCGCCTACAAAATGCAAAAATATTACCTATTTTTATTATAATTAAAAAAAATATTATTTTTACAATTAAAAATGTTATACATTTTTATTCTATAATTTCTTCTGTAAACACAACATTTCTGTTACTTTATATTAGTAATTGTTATAATTAAAAGTATCTTTAGGCAAAATATTAGTGCTAGGGAAATTTGCAGCAGAAAGCCTGAAAAAATTCTGCACAGGGAATTTAAACATTGTAGTAAAAGACGATTGCATCATAATAAACGAATACATGAGCATATAATAGCAACAGATAATAAAATAGGTAGGCTTCATCACCAGGATAAAGATTACACCACCATAAAAACATTTTCAATACCAGGCACTCTAAGAAAAAGCAAACCAACATGAGATAGCCAGGAAAAAGATTTACTGGTACTCCTGTTTGACAGAAGGTGCTGGCGCACCACAGCAGGCACTGCAGAAAAGCAAACAAACAAATGGGGGAGGATTGCTGAGAATCTTTTTAAAAAGCCTCTAAATTTGTTTCTAAGAAAAATAAAAAAGCTGAATTGAAAGAGCACCAGAAAGAATGTTTTTTGTACAGGTTTAACAGTATAGTATTTTTTAGAATCATTTTATAAAATTCAACTTAAATTTAAACACAAAGTACAGTTTTCAAAGGCCTTATATTTGTAAATTTTGTTACACGTATTGCAGCGTCAAATTAAGGTGAATTTTTATAATCATAATATCTGTCTGACTCTATTGAGGGTACAAACAAATTTCAATTTATGAAGATAGTGCTGTATATTTATCCTGTAAATTCAGTTACCAGATTGGTATTGAGGACAAAAAACATGAGAAAACTTGCAGGTTTAAGACTAGCCAAAAAAATAAAACCCCCCCCCCCCCATCTGTCAAATCAGTGAAGAATAAAAAACCTAAAAGATGATTCACTGTTCCATATTCAGATAAAATCCATAACTATAGATCCGAAATGATCAGAATATGAAATAAAAACCAATTACTTCTTTCTTTTGCTAAAATAAAATTTTCAACATTAACCTTCCAAGCCTCGAGTCCTAGGGTAAACTTATGCGGAAATTTCCCTGCAATGCACTACTCTCCTATTGAATTACATAGGGAAATCAGTTTTTTGATGCAAGAAAGTTTGCAGTAAAAAATACCAAAACTATGGATACCAATTAAAAATATACTTTTCTTCGTTGAGGATGTTTTATAGTGAATGTCCTTTAATAAAAATATTTGTAATTTCACTGTCCACTTATTAATCTTCATAAGCAACCATGAAAAGAATAATCTGTGATATTAAAAGGACAATAAATTTTCTACTTCTTAATCCATTTATTAATATGTACATTTTAATGTGCAAATTTTATTATGAATTTAATAGCTCATCTATTCAGAATCAAATATATACATCAAAGTATGAAATTCAATTCAAACATTGCTTATTTAATCTTTTGAGTTTTGCTTGAATATTAAAAAGTTCATTTTAAATGGGTCAATCTAATAGCAATTTAAATTACAAAATAAATAAATTAAAAATATTAATATATGTTTATAATTGATTTCTAAAAAAATACAATTTTTTAAAATTAAGAATACAATTAAGTAATTTAGAGTTAAATAAATGAAAGGAATATTTTTCCAACTAAGATTGAATTCATATTTCAATCTCATTTTCACTAGAAAACTATGCAATATTCAACTTACATTCCCGCTATATTTGAGGCAAAATAATAATTACTGTCACAGAGGTTATCTAATTAAATCTATCATTATAACATATGACTGAACAATTCCAGAAAATATAAAATGCTTATCAGGTAATACTTTTTTTTTGTTAATTTTTTATTAATGACAGTCTTTCAGAATAACCTTGCAAAAAACATACTTCAATAATTAATTTTAATAATAACATGCAATATTTTTGAGTTAATGTATAATCGATGATTAATTTTATTTATCTGCAATATACTACTGAATAAGAGCTACTTTTTATGGTATAAAAAAAAAAAGAGAAAAGCTAAAAGATCAATACAAAACAGAGGATCTATCATTTATTAAATCTAATAGATTTCCAAATAATTGTTGTTTGTTTTCACAAATATAAGTTAATAGATTTTTTAAAAAATTATATTTCCTTATATAGACGTACAAAAATATGAAATTTTAAAATGCATAAAAATATCCGCAAATTCGACACTTACTTTGGAGTTAAAGAAATTTAAATGAACTCATAATAAATAATTATTATTAATCTGAGCCATTAATATACTTTTGGTGCTATAAAGTTTTGAAAGAAATAATCGAAGAACCTGTATTTCATAATTTAGACGATTTGTTTATATTTTTTCACTTGTCAAACGCAACAAAATATTCAATACACTACGCTTGCTTAATGCTTGCATTGAGTTAGACTACTTATTTGTGTTTTTCTATCAGACGTTGCTTAGCAGCCGCCAATAAGAATAAAACAGATAAATCCTATTGGCTAATTTTATCATCGTTGAAATCTTTACTGCTTAATCGTTGTTCACGTTTACTTGCCCATTTGGTCAAGTTTTGTCACATCACCTATTTGGGAACAATGTAGATTTGAATTCCCTTTATAGTTTTTTTAACCTTGTGGAAGACCTTTTCATAATTCACTTCCACTACAACTCTTCTACACCTGGTAATAAGACGGATTTTATTCCTAACCACTTAAACAAAGTGGCCTTAGAAGTTATAAATATGATTCCTCAGCGTGACATTAAGATTTACAATCACAGAAGCAAAATTGATAATCGAACAGGCAATGGAATCTACATTGAAACTCCATAAAACAGATTTTCTCTTAGTCAACGTATTCCGAACTTCAGTTTTGTAATTCTAAGTGAAGTGCTAGCTATCGACGAAGGAATTGTAGTTGTCCTGAATGAAAGTAACTATTCCAACCTTTTGATACTTTCCGACAGCCGCAACTCGATTCAACACTTGAGCAACTAGGTCCACATAAGAGACAAAACAAGTATTTCTCTAATGAAGAAATTAAAGCTCATCTCCGTCAACATACTGGCGTTTAAAATAGACGTTTGAATGCTGATCAGTTTTATTTATTTATTAAGCCTAGACGAAATATTTTTACTGTCAAAATTTTTCTAAGCCTTAAATTATTTTTGATATTACGCCCAAGCAGATGGTGATTGTTAAAAAGTTTTTGTTGCTTACAAACCACTGCACGAAAATTTTCATATTGTACAAAATACATGATCCAAATTGGTGTTCCCGTTCTCAAGTTAATAGCACACGTATGGACTTTGACTTTTATTTATATATCAAGAGAGATGAACAGTGTGCAAAATAAAGAAAAATGGACAATCCTGAATTACTCATAATCTAATGATGGGATAAGATCCTTTGGCCAAGGGAAAGACAAATGTTATAAACCAGCAGAAGCAATGATTAATAACGATGAAATCGATGATGCTAACAGCCAATCAGGTAGGAGTATTTACTAAAAAGATCGCCAGCTGAGTAGACCCAGAACTCCGAGGTGCATTGATTCTATACAGCGAAAACGGTTCGTAAGAAAGTACGTTGTTAAGTTAAGTGTTGTTTGACCTTGATGAAAAACCGATACCCGCGGTTCTCGAAGCTGTCTGCTTGTTTATATTTTCTTTTCTTTTTTTTTTATATTTATTTTAGCTTATAAATAGATCGGTAGTATCTGGATATTTGTGGGGAAATATAACTCAAAATTTGTATTATTTATATTACGTTGAATACGATGAAAGATTGTTTATTAATAGGAATAATCTCTGACTGCGTTAGTATTTTTCTCCTCCTTTTTCTCCTGCTGCGAAGTCTATTTCTTTCTCATCTGATATTCAAAAACGATGGTTGGGTTTTACATTGATACTTAAGAAACTATTTTTACATTATTTAGGATAGAATTTTTTAAAGTCTTTCTAAACTCCCTGGTTTAAAATATGTTTAAAGAATAGTGTTAAACATACAGTGAATCCGAAAAGCTATAAATATTGAGTTACGAGTTTGATCATTTACTCGTAAAAATTGTTCTTATCCAGCTCGTTATTTGATATAGTTCTAAATTCATTCTATTCTATTGTTGATAAGATGTGTTTACATACAGAATTGAAAAATATGTGATTGTTCTATTTTTGACTAAGTGATTTTTTTTTTCAGTAAGTATATTTGTTTAAACAATACATGAAAAACATTTCTGGTTTAATTTTTTACTGTGTGGTTATATTTCAAAATAATCCATTTCCTTCGTAAATCAGTAAGTAGTTAATAGTTTTTATCAATTTTTTCACAGTATTAACTGTCTAACTTAAATTTATTTTTTTATGTTATTATTTGTTACAATGACACCTAACGATTAACTATCTGATCAGATTGGTTTGATGTTATCAATTAAAAAACAAATCGAAAATAAAAATAACTTTTGTTGGAAAAAAAACTATTTATGAATAACTCTGATTATGTATGTATTATGGCATATTGAGATGGGCGGTTCGATTGAAGTGGTAAATTTGATGCCCCAGTTGTTGTTGCCTGGAGAAAAGTGGGAAGATTTCTGTATCCTGATCTGTGGCAGAATAATCACCTAGTCATGGAAACTTCCAAGCCTTCCTTGGCCCGCGAGAAACTAAAAAAAAAAACATCGCAGAAAGGGACCAACTCGAAACATATAACTTGTAACCACCCCTGGGGAAACATCTACATGTTTTGTTTTTTTTTTAAAATTTGCAATTTTATAATCGATTTGGCACCTTGGCGATTGTAGTTGACAAGACAGATCACGATACGGAAATATCCCCAGAAAAGTTGTGAACCAAAAACTCTTTGATTCAGCTTTTAAGAAGTTTAGTCTACGGTGGACTTGTTATACTTTGAATCGACTTTTCTTCTTCAGAATAATAGTTATCTTTTAAAAGTAACCTCACAAAAAACCTCACTTTTTCTGTTTACTAAACTATTTGTCTAAACTTTTTATCATTATTATTTTTTGTTAGACGGTCTTTTTATTTCTGAAATAGATGTATCTATTTTCATTTCATTTGGAAAGCGCTTGTGCTTTGAAGAAGTTATGTGGCGAGAATTTTAAGCTGTTTATATTTATTTATAAGTTTTAAATTTATTATGAGAATTATAATCTTATTTAATTCATTCCTTTCATGTAAAATTTGGATATTTAACATATTTCTTTCTTGTTTTTACTCTATATTTGGAATTTTATATTTTCATATTTTATTCCATTTTTTAATTTATTCTTTTAAATATATTTTAGAAATATAGAAAATTAGTTTCTGAATAGATTGAGTTACACTAAATGAAATTTAGACAATGATGTAAAGATCTCACAAGATAGCAATATTATATCATTTCTTTTTTTTTTCTTTCAAATATATATATATATATAACCTGCTAATTTGTGAGCTAAAAATTTACTACTGATACTCCGACCATTTTGTAGTAAAGGGTAAAATTCGAAGGTTTAAAATTCAACGGTCAAAAGTCGACCAAGTAAAAAAAATGATCAAGAGTCTAGTAAAGCTGGAGCACATCGACCTCCGATACGATTTTCCGGTAGCTAGATTTCCGTTTTGGGTGTTTAATTTGAGTGCTATATGTTTCTATATTATTTATAATTCTTTAAATTGTAAATTGTGTAATATGATCGAAGTACTTTACGAAACTAATTACTTAAAAAAAATGAAAACAATTATTATATACATAAAGTGTTGCAATTTTTCCTTTCCATAAATAATAGAAACTCCTCTAATAGTTGGAATAGCTTGTTATTCTATTGTAAGGGGGAAAAAATAACTAGAAAATACGAATTAATATGAAAGTATTTTTTAAATTTTGTTTCATTTAGTAAACAAAGAAGAATATAAAAATATACTTATGCAAGGTATTTTGCAATGGCCCCCCTTTTGAATATTTTTAGAATTCTTAGGAAAAATGAGGTAACATTAGTGAATGTGATTAATATTTAAATGAGAAAAATACAAACAATGGAAATATACTAAATTACTAATTTACTACTCTGGAGGGTTGAACTGAAAATGTTATAACCCGTCTGATTGCCAGAGGAAATAGAAGGGATGTGAAGTGTGATTACTACGAACACCGAATTTCATCAAATTAAATTAAAAAATAAAATTAAGTTATAATAATGAGATTTAAACTGCTCCTAGGTATCTCAGACCATAAAACTAGTTTTGATTAGGAGTTTTTCTTTGCTTGAACATTAATTCGTAACTAATAAAATGCAATTTTTTTTAATATTTAACACAAAATAACTGTTTAAGGTTTAAAAGCAAAAATAAAAGTTTTCCTATTATTGTAAAATAATCTTTTTGGCAATAAATATTTAATTTTCTATAGAAACCTATAGTTAAACAAAAATGTTTTTAAAAAAAATGAGTGTCCTGATGAAGTTGGAATAGTATCCCAGCAAAATAATTAGAATAACTTCAATAATATCGGAAGCTAACAGTGCCGTAGAGAGCTTAACTCGCGCCCGGGGCACAATACCTTTTTAGCGCCCCCCCCCCCATTCGAAAACCATCTAATATAAGTAAAATATACTCGCAAAGTAATAAATNTATCGGAAGCTAAATCTATGTTAATATATTTATAGTTTTTTTTATCTTTTAACTGAATTATTTTTGAGTCATAATTTTATTATTGACAAGAAGCAAATATTATTGTGATAAATTAGTAATATCTTTGGATCTTATCTTTTAAGATTGAATAGGAATTTAGGAAGAATTTACCTATATAGAGATAGATCATTGAAAATATTTAAGCCTGATTTTATGTTTTATTTTAGTAATGACTACAGGTACAGAAACAAACCAGTTGAACAAATATTTATATGAAAGTTGAACATTACATAATATGAAGTGCTTTATTTTTAATCACGCATAGAATGGTGAACAATTAGCTTAACTGATTATCACTTTTTTCATTCTTTGGAAGTTTAAAACTTTTTTAGTATCAGAAGGAAAGGAAACATCTTTCAAATGATTTTTAAAAAAGTTATTTTTAAATTTTAAAAAAATAATAAATAAATATAAAAAACAGTTTATTTAAATCAAGCTGCTTTAATTCACAAACCCTGTTAATTGTCCTTTTAAAGTAAAAGTNAATTTAATTATGGAATAATAATTTTGTTAATTTTTTTGTAATTACTTATATTTTTTAGTATATATTTCAATTTTAGGAGTAATTTTGTATCAAAAATGTGTTTTTGTCCTCTCATCTTGGAAAATATAGGTTTTTGCCACTTTTTGCCAATTTGCTTGGCAAAAACCTGTTTTTGCCAGGACGGTTTTTACCGGTATTTACCATGGTTTTTTCCACCCTGCCAACCCTGATACATATATACATATATTTAGCTCTTAATCCAAGCTTAGTAATATTTTTTGATTTTTTTTTTAATAAAAAGTAAAAATTCTACATAATTAATTTAAATTTTTTAAAAAAATGCATTGACAACTTTAGTTTACAATCAATTAAATTTTATAAACATAATTATTTTTAAAATATTATTAAAAATAAACCATAACAATGCAATAACAATAATCATTTGATTTAAATCAATTGAATCTGTTACTTGTTTTTTAAAAGGTTTCTAATGAGTGATATTTTCCTTTCATTATAGGATTATATTTTTACATATAAATGTTGCCATGCCTCCTCCAAATGAAATGAAGTCTACGAAGCATGAAAGTAAATCTAAGATATTTTCATTTCGTTGGTTCTTCCACAAAAGTAAGAACAGTTCTCAATCTTCAAAAGAAGCAGCTCTTCAGGCTACAGTGCCCCTCTCCAAATCGTGCGATACGAGTCTAGAACCGATCGATCGTTATCCAAAGTACTTATTATGGAAATTGCTGCCGGGAAAAAGTACGGCACAGCCGCAGTTCTGTCGCCGGATGCTTCCCTTTCGATCCTCTTTCAGTTGCAATGATGTGCACAGCTTGAGTCCCATCAATCAAAATTTTCACGCAACACATTCTGGTCTTAGGAACACTTTAGGTGTTGTGGTTCATCCCTGCCAAAGTTTATATAATCTCTGCAAATCTCACAATGGACTGTCCACAGCTGATACAGAAAAGTTTATAAGTCCTGAAGACTTATCTTGTGATTCAAAAACTATTTTATGCAAATTGTGTTTGGTGAACATACCCATCAATAGCATGTATACATTGCAAGAGTGCAGCTGTGCATTTTGTATAGTTGTAAGTGTGAATGAAATTTTAAAATTTTTTTATAATTTCTTATGATGTTTCCATGTTGGTATCTGTTCTCGCCAACTAAAATCACCAAGATTCTGTGTCAAAATTTTTTCTAGCTTTCTACGACAAAACTCTCTAGCACTAATATCTTTCTGCAGGATACTTTTAATCATAACAGACATGAATGTTACTAATTTGAAATAACAAAAGCACTCTGTTTGCAAACCAAAGAAACTATATATTATTTTTTTAATTGAACATGTAATAATTTTTTATTGTAATATTATGGGTGATAATCTCGCATTTTGTCTGGGGGAGAAGCATGAATTGTTTCCTTCGCAATTTGTAAATAATCATCACAATAAATGAAATAATTAAAAATAATGAAATGCGTAGTAGTAATTGCCGAAAAAAGATCGGCGACAAAATCATGCTAATCGAACTCCTCAACTGTGTGTCTCGTTTCGAAATTAGGTTGTTGTAATATCGGATTAAAAAACTATGGGGAAATCATTAACAGTAACTGCCAAAAATTTGATAGAATTATTGACTTAAAAAGTAAATACTCATATGCATGATGTTCAATGCATATGTGCGGTTTGAATTTTCGATATTATTTCACATATATCAAGATATTTAAAGTCCACGTTACAATCAATATCAATAACTGCCGAAAATACAATCGAAACATTACATTGATTTACGATATTATCGGCTTACATTGAGCTTCTCAAAAAGTCATTATCTAAATGCATTCTGCGAGAACTTAGTAACCTTTTGCAACAATGTCGCCTTGTCGCTGTGATTCTGCCACGGGGCGCCAAGGCGCAGAAAGTATGATCAGGTTTCCCAGGTGTAGCTATGAGTTGGGTCCGCTTCTGGTAGCTTTTTGCAGGTCACTTGAAAGTCACTAAAACTTGGTGATTATTTTGTCGCAGATACTTGTACAATATTAAAGAATTTATAATATGGTAAAGTTAGAGAACTTTTTTTTCAACTACTTAAATGCTATAATTATAAATGACTTATCCTAATATCTTTTATTTTCTACAAAATTTAAAATTTCAGTTGAATTTTTGTAAACTGTTTTAAAAAATGTTATTACATAAATTGTTTTTTAAAGTCTTTTTCTTTCTGTTCTTCCTAAGTGCATTATTATTTCTATTATTGCATTATTATCTGATCACATGGAGTTAATGTAAATATTTACTAAAATAATCATATTCTGTAGATACGATATAAATTTAAACACTTTCAATCATGTAGGTTGCAAATTAATATAGTATAATTAATAAAAATATATAATAAGGCAAATTCATATATAATTTGTCTTATATTCTTTTTAGTGTTCTTTTATACATTCGATGGCCCAAGTTATTCTACTATTCTTTTGAAAGAAGTCTTATCCAATCAATTCTTAGTTTATATTTTCTGGCAGATTTTACAGTTTAATTAGTTGAATGCTCATTCTTTTATAAGTTACTAACCCTTACAAAACTAATATTTTTGACTAAAAGATTTAAAGTGAAAAAGACCACTTATTTATTTTTTGTTAACAAACACAAAATTTGGCAGATTAAAAAAAAAAGACTTTATTTCACAAGAGAGAAAATATTACCATTGGGTAATTATAAAAAGTTAGTAACCTATTGTGGGCTAGGGATATAATAGAGGTGAAGGTTGCTCAACAATTTTGTGAACGACAATGTGGTCAGAAAAATTTATTTAATTGAAAATTGACAACTATTATGTCTTTGTAAATTGAAAAGTGTGGGGAGAGAAGTTATTGACAGTGTCAATCTTCATCTATTAAAAGGTACCCCACCATGGAATTGAGTTAACATGTCTTATATATTAATGAGTGTGAATTATATTTTTGTAGTGGTGGAAACACTACAGTACTCCCCCACCAGAATTATATCTTTGATAGAATTCGATGAACGAATACCACTATTTGGCTCATTGCTGTTTTTGTGAGAAGCCGGGAGAGCTGTATTAAGATCACCGTTCTTTTAAGTTCACAGTCGTGGTTGTTATTGTGTTGCCATTAGCAGTTGAGTGTATACAGGCCAATGTTGTGAGAGATCAAGACTGAGAGGCAATAGCGTGAGGAGGACAATGTCGATGTCATAAGTAGCAAGTCAACTGTTCAGTGTGGACCATCCATCGAAGTAGGAGTGTTCAAATTGTAGTGGGTGTTTCTGCCAAGATAGGCATGTTCACATCACATCCGGGTCACCAATGGGCTGAGAATCACATCGACAATGTCAACCTTCATCTATGAAAGGTTCATCCATTTTTCAATAGAGTGAAAACTCTAAATGGCTATATCATGTGGTCTAATAATTTGTCATTCTTTAAATAGCTCTTTGGTAAAAGGTTAATTTTTAAGTGATTCTAAATCTGATTTTTGCGATTTCACTTAAATGCCTTTGTTTTCTACTAAATGCTATGTTCTTCCACTAAAAAATTCAATTGTGATTGATAAAATCAATATATATATATATATATATATATACAGTGGTGGTCAAAAGTGTGGACACTTTTTGAAAGTTTCATGTTTTTCAACTTAGTGTGCTTGTAGAATATATTAATTTTCACTTAAATACAAACGTTTATATATCAAATTGAAGGTAATTTAATATAGAATTTAATAATAAATACAGTATTACAATATCTGTATCACAAAAGAAGTTATGCAACAAATAGTCAGATCTATCTTAGATTTGCATTTTTTTAAAGTGATAGTTACACAATCAATACTTAGTAGGATAACCCTTATTTCTTAAGACAGCTTCACAGCGTATTTTCATCAAGTGAACGAGTGTTTGGAGTTCATCTTTCGTAATCACATAGTGCCAAGAATCAATTATAGCTTCAATAAGTTGTCTTTTATTGGATGAACGTTTTTTTCGTACAAGAATTTTCAAACGTCGCCACAAATTTTCAATTGGATTGAGATATGGGCTGTTTCCTGGCCATGGTAATATATCTATGCCTTTATTTTGAAACTATGCTTTGCATACTTTTGCTGTGTGGCATGGAGCTGAATCCTGCTGGAAAATAAATGGTGAGTTGTTGGAGAAGAGATCCCTGATTGAAGGTATCAATTTTGGTTTCAGGGCAGTTTCGATGTATTTTTTGGCATTAGGATGCCATCAATCACTTGAATTCGGCCCACACCATCTGCAGACATACATGCCCAAATCATGACAATTGTTGGATTTTTTGCAGTTGCTTCAATGCAATCAGGATGAAGCGCTTCACCTACTCTACGTCTCACGAATTTTCTACCATTTCTTCCAAAGAGCGATATTTTACTCTCATCACTCCAGATTACTTGCTTCCATTGATTTTTTGACCATTTAATGTGTTCTTTTGCCAACTTAACTCGTTTTTCGCGTTGCTTTTGATTTAAGTATGGTTTTTTCCTTTGAATTCTAGCTTGTACTCCAAATCCTGATAACCTTCCTCTTTTTGTTCTTGAACTTACTGCAATACCAGCTGCATTCATTTCACATCTAATGGCTTCTGATGACATTTTTCTATCTTGAAGGCATATCCATTTAATTTTTCTATCGGTAGTAGCACTGGTGGATTTTTTTTGGCCTGATTTGGCATCCTGAGTGCCAAAAAATACATCGAAACTGTCCTGAAACCAAAATTGATACCTTCCATCAGAGATCTCTTCCCCAACAACGACCCATTTATTTTTCAGCAGGATTCAGCTCCATGCCACACAGCAAAAG